ATTTGTCATTCAACATTTTGTCACACATATGATTTGTCATACTCAAAATAATTATTAATCATACATACTTATTACCATATACACAATTTGTCAACATCATTCCATTTGCAGGATTCATTTACTATAACATCACAATTTCATATTCACTAATCCTACTTAATCATATTCATCAATTAGCACAAAGATCATTATGAAATCATCTAACCACATATGAAAACCTTAGCCACAATCACTAAGAGATCATCGTCAAATTAAGCATTTACATTAATAACTTAACTAGTCTAACAATGTTATTAATATCATAAATTAATTCCTTAGGCATCACTATCATCAAACACCTTAACCATTAATAATTAACTCATATTTTAACTTATTCACAATTTTTTTCTTTCATGATTTATGTTTCTTAGACATTAATATAGATACCTCAAACCATTCATAAGATCAAACATTTAAAGGGTAAAGTTATTCGTCATCATCATTCACAACTACATCTCCATAACTTAATCTTCTAAGACATCATATGGACTAGACACCTTATCTAGAGCTATATATTGCTATCAAGATGATATTAATTTTGTTAGAAATTTAAGACAATTATCTACAACTTCTATGTTGAAATTAAGAGTTAATTCTACCATCTACTATTTTTAAAAATTATAAATCCGCAACATTTTAACCTACACCTCACAGGTTGACCTTTGCTAACTAATTTGATCATAACTTGAGTTCTAAACCTCCTTTTTGGGTGATTCTAGTGTCATTGGAAATATAACATCTAAGCCTACAACTCTTATGGATAACACCAAACCTAATTCAACAATATAAGGGCTCTTGAAATGCTTATATGTGTTGGATGTTATATCTCACACAAAATATGAGACTCATCTTGTGACTAACATAACTCACCCATTTCTTATCATTTTTATGTAATTCTTATGTCTAAATTGTAGCCCCAAATGTATACTTTCAAACCCAACAATAAGAACTCAATTTTATTAATCACATACAGAGAAATCACATAAATATCAAAGTATATTCATATCATAATTTTCAAACTCAAGCACAACTCACCTTCAAACTTTCTTCTCCAAATCCAATTGGTAGAAACATAGATTAAATCCTAATATTAGTCTATTATACCATCAATTACACAAATTCAATCTCAATTTTACATAATTGCATACTCATAATATCTTTTCATACAATTACCTAAATGCATTTCCTTAAGATTCCCATAGGTCATCTAAAAAAAAAGACTCCCATAAGAGCCCACGAGCAACTCAAATCATATAAAAAAACATCGATACATGAAATTAAACATAGATAATTATAATTACAATAATTATAAGGGTAAAAAAATCATTAGGAAGACTAGAATTCAACAATAGAAAATATTTAGGAAAACCCCCTCCATACCACACATACATCAAACAAACGTCAATATATGAAATTAACCATGAATATATACAATTAATGACAATACAAGAATAGAAGAATCATATAGGAGATAACAAATCATAAACAAATACGAATTGGAATTCCCTTCGTACAACTCATACAACAAACAAGAACTTGGGAGTCAACCTCACTATCTAACACTTATCTCATGTTCTAAAACAAGACTACTCACTCACCTTTACCTCTATCAATAAACAATGAAGAACGTGGGTCTCTGAGATGATCTCCCCCTATCTCCTATTTTTTTTAGAGTGTAAAAGCACCTCTCTTTTTAAATTTAAACCTAACTCATCCTCCAACTAACCTATCCTCAGTTACTTATCCATAACTTTGATTATTTATTCATTCCCCTCACTTTATAATAATAATGATAATATAATAATAATAATAACAACAAAAATAATAAAATATTATAATAAAATATAATTCTCATATAATTTAATCAAAATAAATATATAAAATATAATTTTATCTTTAAAATATTCTCTAACATCAACCCTTTAAATTTTATAAAAAATATATATATTATTAATCTAATTGTGAAAACGTAGAGCACTTTAACAGTCTTCTTTCTTGTGTATGTAGACGATCTCTTACTCATTGACAATCATACAAGCTTTCTCAACACATTTCAACAAGCACTTGCAACGAAGTTTTCTCTCAAGGATCTTGACATACCTCATCATTTTCTTGGTATAGAGATCCTTCCCACTTCCAAGGGTATTTTCTTAACCCAACATCACTATATTCATGAAATTCTTGCTAAAGCCAACATGTCCAAGCTTTGGACTTGTTCTATGCTATCTCAAAAAAGCGATAGATCATGGACTTCATTTGGATTTGTGAAGCTGATTGAGGAGGTGACACTTCTAACCAGAAGTCCACTGTTGCTTACACAGTATACTTGGTGTGCTAATGCCATCTCTTGGTCCTGTAAGTAACAATCAATTGTAGCTCGTTCTACCATTGAAGTGCTACACCTCCAACAATTTTGTCTTATAATATTGGTGTTACATATATATGTTTGTGCAAATCCAATATTTCACTCTAAATAAGCATGTTGCCATTGATATTCACTTTGTTAATGATCTAGTTGCTGGAAAAACACTCCATATCTCACCTTTCTTCTGGCATCAACTTGTAGACCTCCTCACTAAGCCTTTTTTTTGGTAGCAAATTTTCAGTTTTGTGAAACAAGATTAGTATCGTGTTGGCCTAAGGGACGTACGTGTTGGAGTATTAAGTCATGATTTGCTTCCTTAATATATTAGGAGTTATTATTGTGAAAAATATATCCAAATATTATAGCCTGTTTATAGATATTCAATTTATATGTATTTATTTCTTGTATTGATATAAACATGTAAAGTGATATAAACCTTTAATCTAACTGTTGTACAAAATTTACATTTAATATAAAATTATTGAGCGGTATAATACTTAGTAAAAGTTACACCGGTATATATATATATATATAATATTTCTCATTTATTTATAGTTTGTTGACTTTTTTTTGTGATTGATTGATTAATATAACTTATATATGTAGTCAAGTTGTAGTTTTATTTAATTTACTATTAATAGCAATTAATCGAGAGGTCAATCGAAATAAATACAAAACAAATCTATTGTGAAAGAAAAAAACAATTATCATCACATGATACGTGATAAAAAGTATAACCCAGTGTTTGTGATCACATTTATTTTTATATTATTATTGTTATTATAAAAAATTCCAATTCAACTTGCATATCCTTAAAATAGTTGTATATACGTAGATCTTTATCTTCCATTAAAACGTAAATTGCTGAAATAAGTTAAATGGACATATTTATACTTTATATTTTTTTCATACATTTAAGAAAAAAATTTTCTAATTAACATATTTAAGACACCCAACATACTTAGGGTGTCTGGAGAATTTTTTTTTTTTTTTTTACATCTTGAAGAATTATGATTTTCAAAAATCATAAATATTGAGAATTATAAATTTTTTGATGAAGAAGTAATTTTTAGTTATAAATAAATTTCTTAAAAATATTTATATGTTACTTGAGAATTATAACACTCTGTTTTTCAAAAATAATAATATTAGTATATTAATATATTTTTAGGGTTAGACATATTATTATTATTATTATTGTTGAAGGAAAAAGTATTTTATTATGTATTTTATTTATTTATTTATTTATTTTTGGGGAAAAAGATAAGCGAGTCAAGATGTGAAGTGGGTTGGATTGACCCAACCTAAGGGAATGTTAAGGAAAGAGTCAGTAAAATTAACCTTCATCTATCTCATTTTTGACATTCTGAAGAAATAAAAGAAGAGGAGAGGAGAGATAGAGAGCTCTCAAGAGTGCTCAGGAACAATTTTAACTTGCATAAGAATTATTTGGATTAACGCAACAAGGTACAAGGAAAAAGAAGACTTTTATATGCATAGTTAAAGGAGGGAATGGGTAGAGGGAGAGGTCAGAATTCTTAGGAATTTTATATTCGTTTCTGTTTGCATGTTTGATGATTCTAATGAATTTTATGTGGATTTGTGATTGTATTTATGGTATTAGATGTTAAAATTGATGTTCTAGGAGAGAGATTGAATTATTTGAAATGTGCCTATGAGTTAGAGTTCATGAGGGATTGAGGATTTTGTAATTGATGCATGTGTACATGAAATTGATGTATTATAATGTGTTTTCGAGTAATTGTGATGAATTTTGACCGATTGGAATATGAAAATAGTTTGTTTGATGATTGACGAATTTTGGAAAGCCCTGTTCGCATTCTAGGTTGTTAGAATTTGCGTTCACATCAGGCTTGGTTCTTCGTGCCGGCCTCACATTCATAGTGATGAATGTGAAGCCTAGAAGGTTTGCGCCGGGTGTGGGTTATTTCACGTCAGGCGTGATTCCTTTGAGGTTGCATGAGGATAATTGATGTGTAATGCATTGACATGGATGAGGTGAAATGGTATAATCATCGATAGACGCATATGCATTACCTTAACCTATGTGGTGTATAACAGGGAATGTATAATATATGTATATAATGAATTTATATTGGTTGGAATTTCTTATTGTCACTTATATATGAATGTTTTCTTTTCTCACCATACAGTTTGTGGTTGTTTTAGGTGAAGAAGGACTTGATATGAGTGACACTCAAGGTGCTGAGATTTGAAATATGGGTTACTCTAAGTCATTTTTTTTAACATTAATGTATCCGGGTCAATGTCTTAAGTCAATTTTTTTTAATCAACCATCATTAAAATTTTTGGTCAATATTGTCTCAATGTAAACACATGATATCTTACTGAGAAACCGCGTACAGCTACAATGTTATAGCTTGTGGTCATTCTTTAATTCAAGTCTTTGGTCATTCTTAATTTACTTTTTTTGGGCCATATATTCTAAATTTACTTAATCATTGTTTGCTTCAGTAGTTAATATATTTTAATCAAATGTCAAACAAAAAAAAATCCAAATGTATCTATATAATATGGCTTGTCAACCTCTTCCTAATTGCATGCTCAACTTTCACACTTCACTGAGAAAATGGTGTTGTCTGATTTGGAGATCTGCAAGCCAACCTCAACTTCTCACCATGAAGTTGGTATGCATTTCTTCATCAATACTTGGTTACCCCAACTTTCCTTTATTATATCGTATTATTGTTGATACAGTTAACAGCAATAAATTGACAGTTTACGTAAAATAGTTTTACATGATCAATTCATCATATTTATTTAATCTTTTAGATAATTATTTTAAAAATCAACAAATTTATCATTTATAATAATTTATGATTAGATGATTATGTAAAATTATTTTACACTATCTATGTATCAATATTAAATCATTAATACAACTATATATACACATTAATGATATATTTTCTTTGTCCTCTATTATAAACAAAAAAATATTTATTTATAAATATAAGTAATTTAATTATTTTTACATCATTTAATTAATGACATTTTCTCTAAAATATCTCTTGTATAATACATGACCTTTCAGTTGTATTATTTCTTTTGACATTTATAATAAAGGTAGTTTAAGAAAAATCTTATAAAAAAATTAATGCTAATAATTTTTTTTAAATATCCATAAAATTAATTATTTTTAATAATAGATAACAGAAAAATTATATGTTAAGTTCACGAAAATATATCAAAAGATTAATTGGTATTTACATATATGCAGGTGTTTCTAGATCTGAGAGAGACCTGCCACCAGCTCATTACTTGTTCAAAATTGAATCATATTCCGAATTAATGAACACAGAAGTGGAGAAGTATGAAACTAATGTTTTCGAAGCTGGGGGATACAAATGGTTTGTTTTCGTATGCTTCTTTCTTTTCTGATCCAGTTGAGAAATTAATTCTTCATTTCTTTTTAATATTTTTTACACCCTTTATTTGTTGATTGTTTGTTAAGATGGTTTTTAGAATTATCTTAAATTCGAACAAAAATTGCACGTTTAAAGATCTTAAAATTCATTTCCAACATTCATAAATTAGTATGGAAGAAATGTCGCTGCATTTTTTCTTATATCTATAACATATAAAAGATGATGTACACATTTTTTAGGCAATTTTATCCTTACATTTTTAAATAATAAAAAATAATATTAAATTAATTATTTTTACAAACATAAGACTTAAATTCAAGACTTGAGATTTGAAGATCAAATATAACATTAATTTATATAACAAATATTAATAATTTTTTAAATATTTTTATTAAATAAAATAAAAAGACACAAATTACCTTGATCTTATTACTACTATAGAACAATTAAGATGTAAACCATAATAAAATTTGAGCTTAAAATTTTATGTTTATATTACTACAACTCCTCTATTATTAGGATGACCCTAACGTTGAGTTATTATATTTATTATAGATTAGACTGGATTGAGTTAGAATATCATTAACTATATGCAACCTATTATAATTGAATTAGCAAAAATAAGTCTAACTCAACATGATGAACTAACTTAACTCACTAAAATGTAGTTAAATTAGGTTTAGTTGATTGAGTTTGTGAGTTGATCTCAACCCGCTTGTGATTTATCAATAATAATTGTTACAATAAGCTTTGATATCATCTCACACTAAAAACTAACCTAAGAGGTGACCGAGCATTGTCTTCAATGATATATATTATTTTGATCATATATGATGCTTAGGGGCGTGGAGCTAAACCTTTGTATTGAAGAGGGTCAAGATTTTTTATTAACAATTATATGTAAATATTTTAATATTATAAATAGTTCATTATCATTATACTTTTTATCTTTCTTTTTATCACATTATATATCAATCCTATATATAGTAATAGATTTAGAAACTTTAGATAATTGGGACAATATTTATTCATATATTTGTAGTATTAAAAAATTTACATATCATTTTTAAAAGTATAAATATATATTATAATTATTTTCTACAAGCTTTTATATCTATGATTACAACTAAAACTAGGTTAGACTAGATTATTTATAATTTATTAGGTCTAAATTTAACCTTTACTGAAAATACATGTCCTAAGTATGATTTATTCATCTGTCGTAGACATTTTTTTAATATTTGATTAGAACTACAACCCCAAAAACCTATTTTATAGTAATTTAACACTAATAAAAACATAAAAATAAATATGTTAAATTTTATAAAAATTAAATTAAATTAATTTATGATATAAACATGTTTTTAATATCTAATATATTATTTTAAATGATAATTTATTTAAAAATATATTTTATAATAAAAATTATAAATTGAACATAAATCTTACAAATTTTACTATTTTTATTTTTTAATCAACGTGTACAATA